TTATCATTATGGAATTTGTCCCAATATGTTCTATAGTGATTTGACCGCTCTAAATCTTTCTTTAACAACTCAAAATTTGACATCTATAAACTTAGACTTTGTTGAACTCCTATTGTTTTGAATACAAGACTGCTAACTTATTGTCACAAAATAATTAAGTGATCTTTCAATTTCATCCAAATTTTGCAGTCCAGTGATAAAATTTCGCAGCCATAATCCCTGATTTGATGCTTCATAAGTACAAACTCCGCTATCATGGTTGAAGAAGCTATGTGTGTCTACTTAACACTCTTCCAGCATATAGCTTCTCTAGTATGTAGGAAGAAATTACCTAATATAGATCTCCTATATCTTGACATCTAGCAAAATTAGAATCAGAATAATCAATGATCTCCAATTGGTCAATTTTCCTGTGTGTGAGCATGTAATATTTTCTTCTTTATAAATACCGCAAAACTCACTTGGCTGTCGTTCAATGATTTATTCCAGGGTTACTTAAATATATGTTTAACATTCCAACAATGAATGCTATATTTGGACGTGTGCATACCTGAGCATACATCAAACTCCCGATTGCTGAAGCATACAGAATTTTCTGCATTTTTTTTTCAAGGTCATTCTTGGGGCATTGATTGAGATTGAATTTGTCTCCTTTAGAAATAGGGTTATCTCATAATTTGCAATCCTTCATGCTATATCTATTAAATACCTTATCGATATAGCTCTTTTGTGATAATCAAATAATACAATCGAGAACAATCCCGGTGTATCTCTATTACTAATACAAAAGAGGCATGACTAAGATTTTTCATTTCAAAATTTTTTGATAGAAATCTCTTAGTTTCGTACAATAAACATAGATATTTGCAAGCAAGTAGTATGTTGTCGACATATAATACCAGGAAATATACTTACTCCCACTAAACTTATGATATACACAATCATCAACTACATTTATATCAAAATCAAACGAGATAATTACTTGATGAAAATTATGATACCATTAACGGGAAGCTTACTCAAGCCCATGGATGGATTTCTTTAATTCTCAAACAATTTTCTTTAGGTCTCTTCACACAAAGGTTTTCGGTTGCACCATATAAATTGAGAAATGTAGTCTTTATATTCATTTGATGTAGCTCAAGATTAAAATATGCCACAAGTGTCATAATAGTTTCAAAAGAGTCTTTTGTTGAAGTCGGAGAGATTAATATCTCTTTGGAATCAATGTCTTCCCTTTCAATAAAGCTCTTTGCAATAAGACGAGCCATATAAATATATAGACACACACACACACACACAATACCCTTCGGATCCCTCTTCGTTTTAAATATTCATTTGTAACTGATGGGTTTCATACCTTCAGACAATCAAACAAGTTCCCAAACATCAATGTCTTTTATAAACTTTATTTCCTCATTCATGGCACCAATTCACTTTTGAGAATTATCACTTTGCATTGCTTGATTAAAGTTGATTGGATTTTCTTCCATCAATCCAATGTCATCCTCATGTTCTTGAAGAAATATAAAGTCATCCAAAATTGTATTTCTCCTTTTTCTAGTGGATCTCCATAATGCATTTGTTCTTGAGATTATTGAGTTTGTTCTTCTTAACAATCTCTTGACTGTGTATAGTGTTTTGGAATATTGTCTTTATCCGAAATTACTTTTAGAACAAGATCTGAAGTAAGAATTTGTTCGTGATCCTGATTGTTGTTAATTACAACAGAAGGATATTTATATATTCCTCATCAAAGATATAATCTCTAACCTTATCTCCCCCGCAAACTCTACATCTTCAAAAAATTGGGCATTTTCGTTTTCAAAAATTGACTTTGTAGTGTGATCATAAAATTTATATCCCCCCTTAACCTCTTTATGTATCCAATGAAATAACAACTAATAGTTTCAAAATCCAATTTGTTTTCATTAGGCCTGTAAGGCCTTGCCTCAGCTAAATAATCCCAAATGTACAAATGATGAACAAACAAGGCTTCTTGCTTGTCCAAAGTTCATAAGGAATTTCAATAGTTCTTTACTTGGACTATATTGAGAATGCCGCAGTTTTTAATGCATCTCCCCAGAGCGATTCTGGGAATATGGAATGATTAATTATACTCCTTACCATATCCCTTAGTGTTCTGTTTGTTTTTCAGCAACATCGTTCATGCTAAG